TTAGTTCACAGTTTGATTTCAGTTTCATTCTAAGTTGTTGCAATCTAGTTATTCTATCTGTCTGGCGCTAACTGGTATTTAACCTTCGGAGTTGCTTGTCACCTTCGGATGACCGCGATTTCATTGTCTCCGACTAACCTTCTACATTACGGTTCTTAAACTTAACGGATTAATTTACTTATCGAAACCGTCTTTTCTCACCACACTACGCAAGCACGAAAAATGGAAAGTTCGTGCAACACACTTCAACCAATTTGGCCAAAATAGCAGTTTTCAACCTCCATATTGATACAAAAACTTGTCTTGCTTGAATTATATTTTTAGTATTAGCTCATGGTATCAAAATTTTTCAGCCTGTTTATTGTGTTAGCAACTCAAAATTTGATGGGTTTTCAGAAGTACCAAAATGAAAACTCGGTTGCTTTTCTACCAAAAACTGTTCAATTGGTCCAAGACTACTAAGCCGACTACCTAGGCTTAAGGCCGCCAATGGGCGCGATCTGCGGTGATAATCAGCTCTAGTTTTCATATAGAGTCCTGCTTCTTGTTGGCGAGCTCGTAAAGCTTTGGTGTGATTGCACTGGTGACTATTTTGATGCTTAGATTGTCTGCTTTTGTGCCCCTCGAAAAATAAGCAAAAAGTTTAACCATTTAATGGCTTCAAGTTTTACCAATAACAATTTGAGTTGAATAATGTTGGTACAAATGAACTTTGGTACAAATGGGTTTTCACCCAAAATTTTATTTTCTAGAATCGAAAAACACCTCGAGCATAACCTCCATCTTTTTAAAATTCAGGATGTTATAGGTGATAAGATAGATCGACCCTTTGCTCCATTTAGAATGTGGACGTTAGATAAGGATCTGTTTTTTTTATCTGCGGGTTTGATGAAGTTCAATATATTTGTAAATTGAATTTTGTTTATTGTTCCGACTTTTGTAACTAAAGCAACGGAATATCGGTGCTTGGGGTGGTTTCTTTTCAGACAAATTTCTACTTTTTAACTAGCTATTTTTGACGGATTTTTTTTGCATCATTCAAAAGATATTGTTGTCTTGAGCTTAAAGTTGTCTTAGAAAACATTGCAAATTGGTTGAAGGAAGTTTATTTGCCCTAGTTGGTTTGCTAATAGGAGCAAAATTGATCACTTTGTACTTTATATTGCGTGTGGGGGATTATTTTAACAACAAAATCGCAAATTGAAAAAAAATCATTATTAATACATTTAATTTTCTCATGTTATTACTGCTCCATAGATGTTAAAAGACAGACGAAACATGTAGAGCATCGCCCTGATACGAGCAGTCTTGTTCATTTTGTTTTTTTCTCTACCATATTTTACATCAGAGGTAATATAAAGACGATTTGTTTAAATCAACTTTTTTTGAAAAAAGACTATGCTGTTGCTATATACAAACACAAAGAAGAGCCGTTTTAATCATTTTAAATTTAAAACTATCTCAATTTTGACAAGTGATTAATGGACAGTGTTTATTATCAGTGTCTTCATCGTTTTAAAGTTGGCATAAATGAAACTTTAAAAAAAAATCTAACGATTGAAGAGAAACGTGTTAGTATTTAAACAATTTCAGTTTGAACGGCAGCAACTTTCCTAAATAGCTTTTACTTCTTAAAGAATTAACATAGATGAGATTGAACTGGAAATGGTCGGTGAAATAATGGCTATTTTTCAGCAATCGCATTCATATTCATCTTTTTGCATAGAGTTTTTGCGGTGGATTGAATCAACCTAGTCCCTCGCCGAAAAAATACTAATTTGTTTTAGATATGTCAAAAAGTTCGTGGGCGACGCTTCGATTATTCTGAGTATCGTTCTGTTTCTGGAAGTAGTTTTTAATCTTAAATTTTTTATAACAATTTTTTTATTATCTTTTTCCTTGCGCAATGTTAAGTACAGATTGATGAATTTTGCGTGTACTTTTGAGTCAATTAACTGGGTCAATCTTTGAAATCAGTTTTTGAATCCATAATAATTGTCTTTAAAAATGGAATAAAATTGCATGCAACTTTGCATACAATTTTTCAGGCTAAAAAACTAAAAAAAGTCCGTCAAAAGAGGCTTGCTAAAAAATTTTTAATTTTCTCAAGAAAAATCGTACAATTTGTGAATTCCAGAGATTGAGAGTCAAGAAAATTGACCGCGGCAAATAAAAGTAAACTAGTACGATAAATTGTAACAAAGATCAAATTTGCTTAAACTTTTTCGGAACTAGATGGTTTTATATTGATATTGGAATGCAGAAATCTTTTAACTTGCAGAAAAGACTAACAACAGCAACAATAAAACTTCTTTGTAATTTAGTTTGGATTTAAAAAAGCGAAAAAATTTCGATCCGTTTTGAACCAGAAAATTTGATCTGTAAACAAAGGTCAAGCACGGTCGATAATTTCAGTGCCAAAATGTGATCTCCAATGATTTGAACACTCAGCAAGTCAATCATTTTTTTTGCGCAGAATATACTCTTAATTTAGCCGAGTCAGTCAAAAACTAGTTCAGCTGAGAGTAGTCAAATTTATCAAACTTCACTCAATCGGGCACCTGGATCTCGCAGTTAGAACTTGTTCATTTTTTTTTTGCAGCAAACGCTGGAATTTTTTCGCTCAACACAGTTTTTAAGAGGACTTTTTAAATAGGACTTTTTAATTAATTCATGTGATAGAAATTTTACATCAAGTGAAATACAATGATGACTATGCTCGCAATTAAAAATGTCCTGCAATCATTTTTGGCAAAATGATGTGGTTTTGAAATTTGTAAGCTAGACAAGTTTTGAATAATTTAGGCTTGCTATTCCATTAACGCGAAGTGCAAGTGGTGAATTAGTTTGGCTGAGAAATGATTAAAAAATTGCTAGTTAGAAAGTCACATAACTTGTTACTCGATGGTATAAATATGGCATCAAGTAACATGTTATTGTTCCGACTACTTTCGAAAAAAATGACGGAATATATGTTCTCGTGGGTTCTTTTATTCAGACAAATTTCGACTTTTTATCCAGAGTTTTTGACGAATTTTAAATCATTCGATAGTCATTGTTGTCTTAAGCTCAAATCTAAAAAAGTTATTTAATCTGAGATCATTTTTCGTTTTCGTGCAATTTTGGGGGTTTAAAGAGTGCAAATTTGGCCAATTTGGGACAAAAAAAGGCTCGATATATTTTGTGCTAATAAGGTGTAGCGGAGATTTAAGCCCTGATACAAGCAGTCTTGTTTGCTTTTGCATTTGAAAAACCTTTAAGTCGCATTTAACAAAAGCAAAAAAAATTTTGAATTATATCATTATTTTAATAAAAAATGATTGAAATTCCTTAAATTTCGAAAATTGGTTTCCGTCTTAGAAATCAATTTTTAGAGATTTAATCCGTTCTAGAAATCGTTCCAAATTTGCTGAAGGAAGCTTATTTGCCATATTCAATTTGCTACTAGAAGCTAAATTTATCACTTTGTACCTTATATGCCGTGTGGGAGGATGATTGTGACAAAAAAACCCATGTTAAAAAATCTTGTAATTGCTTCTCCAACCTTCAAAGGCAGTCAGTCAGGGCTTCGCAATGATATGAGCAGTCGTGTAAACATTTGTAGAGTATGTCAGCTTGCTGATAATCCATTAAAATTTACACAGAATAACTTTTTCGAAGAACCGAAAAATTGTAACGTTTCATTTAATAAATTAATTACGTCTCATGCCATACATTACAATGCATTTATTTATTTATGCTTTTCAGTAATTTGGCCTGCCATTTTTTGCAACCAGATCAAATTTTAATACCAGGCTGATGTGTCAGAAGCAATTTTTGCCCAACTTTTTATTAAATATTTCTAAAAGTTATGTGAAAATTTAAATTTTTCCCAAATTATTTTTTCTCTTCACGATATAATATATAGTAATTTTTGCATCTATAAACGAGTTTTATGAAAAAATTTTTAGAATAAAAAAGACTCAAAGCTATTCAAGCCATATTACCTATTCGTATTCAACCACAGTTCTAATTTAATGTTTTCTCGTGGTTGCTTGACTTGCTTTGTAATAAAAATTTGATACCAATTGCTTCGCAATTTATGATTTATTAAGATGTTGCTCCATTTTTTGTTCTGATCTCTGGCAGTATGTTTTCACGAATGCAACACGCTACTTGTTGAGAGAAAAAACATAAAACTTCAATGAAAAGTGTTTTTTATTTGTTTACTTGCATTCATTATTGAGTCCATTCACCATTCCCTTCCATGGACAAAAAGGGCAAAAAACTTTGGTTGGTCCACTTTCTTTAAGAGACGGTACAAACCCAATATTTTTTTAGTATCTAGGATCTCTCGGAAAAATTGAAGTGCCGGATTTAACGTATACTGCTCTCCTCAAGAATGGAGTATATAGGCGCCGATAGCGTTGTGTTCCGACCACTCGAAAACTGGAAAGGAACCTTGGATTCGGGTCGGGTTCTTTTCCTGTTAATTTTTACTACCTTAAAGAAAGCTCAACTGTGGTATCATAATGAAACGGACAATGAAATTTTTTGATCGTGATTTGGAATCTAAATAAAATCTGAAAAAAATTAATGTCGAGAAAAACCGGTTTCGTTTTTTCAGACTTAATTACACGAAATTTGATGAGAGAATACCTCCCAATTGTAACGGCAACTCAACTGTAGTTAGCGTAACTTTTTTTTGTTTTTGTCCTAGCTCAACTGCCATTTCTAGGAACATAAGACTACTGAAAACTTAGACAAAAAAATTCAAAATGATTTTCTGTCGAATTTTTTTTACATCAGTTATATTTTTTCCAGACCAGGTCTGAATATTCTGTGCTATACGTTCATGTAGTAAAATAGTACCAAAATAGTTCCATTTTTATTATCGTTTGAATAAACCTGTTAGCGTCGAGGACGTCGCATTGCTGTGGGGAGTTAAACTTTTTGCCAATGATCGGCGGAAATGATTAGTCGTAAAACAGTACTAAAAAGGGGTTAGCAATTTCACCTACCTGATACGGAATTGCGCTGAAGGTTGCTCTCACTGCCAAACTTTTTTCTTCCTTTCGGTGTGTAGGTATACTTGCCGCGCTGATAACGCGGATCATTTGAATAATTCATTTATCAATAAAAATCAAATCTGCAGCACATATGGCTTTCTTAAATCGCATATAAAATTTAAAGTTTTCTGTTGTGGTTGCGAATTCGTCTCAAAAGCAATTGTCCTGATTACTGGTAAATAAGCATTGTTTACGAATAAACAAAAGTTTATTGAGTTTTGTTACAAAGTACGAGCCCCTTTCAAATATGGAGCAGATACTCAACCATTCAAAACAAGGTCTTAACGATCTTGACTTTGATTATACTAATAAATCGCGTCATCTTTTGAATGAACGGTCATTCATTTCATCATACTTTTATAATATTTAGTCAGACTTTTGTTGGCATAATTTGAACTCTTATAAAGAATATCCAAAATTTTTCAACCTATGAATGTGATTGTTATATCATAGTACAGCTGAAGGAGCTTCGGGCGATTTAATTTGTTTCTTTTTTTTTGATACTAGATACATCTTTGCATAACCTAATCGAGAGAAATTATTCGGCATTTCCATGAAAGACTCCATGCACTACAGCAATCCATTTTAGATAATTATGAGATACGAAATTTTCAGGCGAGGTCGCATTTTAAACTGATAAAATTTCTTTACAAGCTAGAACAAGCTCAAGATAAGATGAAGGAGACTTTGACTTTAAAAAGGTCAAATTCATTTTCTTTTCCAGTTTTTCTCGCAAATAGAACTAAGTCCAACATCTGTTGACCACGTTCATGGAATATAGTTGAAATTAGGATGTCTCCCAAAATCAGATACCACAAAGTGAGGTGGTAAAAGAACGATTGATGTATCATTTTATTGAATTTTGTCAGTCGCAATTAAGTATACAAAAAAGAAACTAGAACCACATTTTTGGCGTCGAGAAAAAAACGGTAAGAATTTTTTTTTTTGCTTTTCAGACCATTTCAGATCAAAATTAATTCAAACCAAAAGGCAAAGTGTGCACAACAGCGGCAATTTTGTTAACAAGAAAGCTTAAAATGTTTGATTGTCATATGTGAAACAAGACTGTGCGTATCAGGACACAGCCCTATAATTGGTCTCGGATAGTCTTTGTAAAACAAATTTCCGCAAAACTAAGAATTTTGCGCTGGTGATATCAAAAATTAAACAAGACTGCTCGTATCAGGGCGAAGCCTTGAATGTTCCGACTGGCTTTCAAGGTTTATGGAGCAGTAATAACATAAAAAAATAAATGTAGTAAGATAAAATAATTTTTTTTTGCTAAAATTTGAGAATTTTTATGAAAATCATACCCCCATCACACGCCATATAAAGTACAAAAGGATAGATATCGCTCATTGTAACAAATCAATTATGGCAAAAAAGTTTTTTTTCAACCAGCAATTTGAAACGATTTCTAAGACGGATTAAAATCTCCGCTTACGCGTTAATAGCGCGAAACATATCGCGCGTTAATTGTCCCAAAATGGCCAAAACGGCAATCTTAAAACACCCATAACTTAACAAAAATTGATCACAAGTGAAATATCTTTTCAAAGTCAAACTCAGGACAACAATACCTTTCCAATGATATAAAAAAAATCCGTCAAAAAGGCTAGTTAAAAATGTCAAAATTTGTCTGAAGAAAAAAAAACCCACCCCGAGCACAAATATTCCGCTATTTTTGTATCGAAAGTCGGAACAATGATGAATTTGAGTCGTATATCGGTTGCTTTAATAAACCAATTAGCTGCCTCCTTTTTATTTGGAACGATTTTGTCGTGCGGGATAATAAAACAAGTGGTTTTAGACATACTCCTGGAAGGTTACAATGGTGGTGAGCACATTCGGTTGGTGGCATGCAGATTAAGAGCCCGATCAACCAAAGGAACAGAGTTTTGTAAGAAAAACTCTCTGAGTAAAAAAACCATTCCGAGCATATATATTCCTCAATTTCTTCCAAAGTTGAAACAGCAAGACTGCTCGCATATCAGGGCAAAGCATATCATTCTTCTTTTGAAAGTATCAAAGTATTATTCGAGCAGTGTTGCCATCCCTATTTTAATCTAGTGCAAGCACACTTGCTTGGCAATCCAGAGATTTCCTGATCGTACCCATACGCCGTAAACTTTTAGTAAATCGGGTTGAATTTGAAAAAAAGCACCAAGCTTATATATTCCTCTTATTCTTCAAAAGTCGGACCAATAAGTTAAGCAAAGAGTCTTTGAAACTTCAGTTAACGCCTCGCCTGCTAAATTAGTGATTTTTGACTCAATTTGTTTAATTTACATAAAATAAACTGCCTAATAATTTTTGTTGAGCTCTTTCAAAAACGTTACAGGCTTTGAAAAATCGAAAAAGGCTGAATTAGCTGTCACTTTTTCCTTCAAATAAAAATTATTATTAGCAATTTTCCACAATTTAAAAACTCTGTACATAGAAAAGTAAGACCCATTTGCGTGCAGATAAAAGGTTGTTTTCTACAAAAAATCAGCAAATTATTTCGCAGAAAATTCATCGATAGCGTTTCTCATTCATAAATTTGTAAATTTTTGTAGCATCTTATAATTCTGATTCGTTGCCTGAGTTAAATCTCAGTGTTTGAGCCGCCGATTAACAACGACCTCGGCCTAGTTCGAACCGAAGGAGAGACATCATTTGCCTCTGAGCCATCTGCGTAATCCAAAAAAATATCGTCTGATTTTTCTCTTTGATCAAGCGCGAAACAATTCCAGTAATTGCAAAATCATTTTGATGATTCAAGAAAATGATACTGTTATGTCAAAATATTAGCGCTAGTTTTCATTTTGAATTATGCAATGATTAATGTAGGATGTCAATTTGAGAATGAGATGAAAGTTTATTGGAATATTACAGCAAAACAAAGCAGAAACTTTTTTCGCAATTGTAACTTTCTTCCAAATGAGTTTTTAAAAGTAATTTATGTCATTTGTCAGATAAATTGAGCCACTGCAATAACTTCTATCACATAAACTCGAGATAAAAAGTGATGAAATAACGTTTTTTACAGTTTGAATTCATAGTTTCTAGTCAGGAAAAATATTCGAAATACTATAGAGCTCAGAATTTTTATGTGAGCAGTTTTGCTGGTGATAAAACTCAACCCTAACTAGAGTCATTGAGTTGAGTTATTGAATGACCAGGTAAGTGTCACTTTGGCAATAAAGGTCTGTTTTTGCGGAGATTTAGCGAGAGGAAAAAGGTAGTCCGATCGTGATCAACATGTGAAGACTGGGGGTGTCGCTGTGTCCGTCCTTTTCGACTCGATTCCTAGTATTTTTTCGTCTACCGTTTTATCGTTTTCCTCCATGTGATTGAGGTATCTACGCTCTCAGTAAAATTGTGGGGGTCCTATAATTTGTCTGGGTCTAGGCGAAACATCATCTGAGTGACTATGGGGGGCGTCTCCTCCGGTGAGCTGTCCAGGAGAATTGGTCCCACTGCTGAACCGGCCGTCGAAATTGCAGGAAGAATGCTTGAATGTACTGCGACCGTTGATCCGCTGAACTCCTCGCTGATTTTTATTTTATTCTTCACCAGCTGGTTCAGAAGTGGAACCAATTCTGTTCGAGTTGGTCTACCGTCTTATCGTTTTCCTCCACGTTATCGACGTATCTACTCTCTCCTTAATATTGTGGGGGTCCTAGTTTTCGTCTGGGTCTAGAAGAGGGCCTGATTCGAGTGAACAGGGGGGGGGGGCGTCTCCTTTGGTGAGCTGTCCAGCAGAATTGGTTCCACTGCTGAACCAGCTGTCGAAGTTCCAGGAAAAATGCTTGTTTGTACTGCGACCGTCGGTCAGCTGAACTCCTCAGTGTCTGTCTATGTTCGGAGCCTTGTAGTCATCTGTAAAACTCAAATCAATGTTATGATCCGTGATATTTCCTGACATATTGGAGCGTTGTTGCTGGAGACAATCTGAAGTTAATCGTCAATCAAACAGTCACACGAACTTAGATTTAATGAAGAAGACGAGGAAGAGAAACTTGAGTTAGTCAGCAGCGATTCTGGGATGATGACATTCTCCGGAGGGAGATGAGTGGTGCCAAGCGTCAGCGTCATATTGCTTGAACCATTGTCTTCTTGAGGGTGGGGGTCCGGTTGGTCTTCTTTGGTGACTGTTTTTTCATGTTTCCGGTTAAATTTATCATGTTTTCAAGATCGGTGCCCATGGGTGGTGGTTTAAAAAGAAATTTTAAGGACCCAGAAGTAATTTCCTTTTGACCGCTAATTCCTACTTTCGTATATTTTGTCCATTTTCTAGCGTAACCGCATTTTCCGAAGAGTCAATGATTGCCTCCTTGACGGGATTATAGTAAGGGTATCCGTTTTTTTGTTGTTGTTTCTAAAATTATTACCTCCACAGGTTAGTTTAGTTTGCATCGATCATTTAGGTTTACCAGCTGAGATCGGGGTCGTACGGCAACCCGAGGAGATTGTGGCCAATGGGAGGTTAGTTTCTGAGTCGGATGAGAGTTCCATATCCGCATCTGCAGATCCATCCTCTGCCCCATCATGGAGCTCCCATTTCCTCGCCCGATGGTATGACAAGATCAATTTCCCTTGATCTAAACGAGTAATATTGGAAATCATTTTTTCCTACCTAGTATTAGCAGTAAGGTTGAAATTTGTTTCGAAGGGGGTACATCCGATGGATGGTTGTTTGGTAATCCGCAAGTTCCAAAGAACTTTTTTTTCGACTGAGGAGTTTAAACCAACTTGGGTGACTCGTGCGAAATAGCAAGCAAATTGAATTGGACGGTACAAACAAGTCCAGTTGATCTATGATCTTCTACTGTACAGTAGTAATTTCGATATTTAATTTTTTACAAAAAGATTTAAAATCTTGTGATGAAAAGCAAGACTCATAGTCGTCTTTGATTTTTCTTCGAAGCTAAAGAGCTATCGGTGAAATTTCGACCAATAAAATAGCTTGAACTATTCGTTCCCGACTTGAAATTTTTATATACAATTGTGTTCACAGCGACTGCCAGTCGATCTATAAGTACGCTACTTACAGTAGAAAAAATGGAATGAATTTGATGGACTATTTCGAATTTTGTCTAGTGATGCCACGACGATTTCTTTACATAGATCACGACGATAGATCACGCTTAGATCTATGAACTAAGCTGAAAAATTGAACAATT